CCTAAATCAAATACAAACATGGACCGTCGTAGCTTAATGCTATGTTTTACTTTATTTTGTGCTATGCACCATGACTTTTAAACTAAAAACGGTGCATTACACTTCTGACCCAATCTCGTTTGTCATAGTCTTGGCTCTCTGGAACTATGCTCTTTGCAGAACTGTTTCACCCCAGGAAGGTCCACGTGGCTCAGCTTCTTTCATGCCTGGTTTATAGCATGTGCTTCCCACTAGCTTCCAAGAGGTCTGTATAATGTGACACCCAGCCAAACTAGGGGTCACAAAGCAGGTGAGGGCACCTGGCTCAGAGCAATCTATAGAAGGACGGCTGTGAACAGGCTGGTCAGACCTTGATCAGTTCTGGCACTGTGAATACCACTGTCAAAAACCTCAGTTCCATTGTCCTACAGTTTTCAGTGACTTTGGGAACAGAAAGAAGACTTCGATGTACAGAACGAACCACAGGAAAGGTAGGGCCCAGCTTCACCTGCTCATAATCCACCTTTATTGTTCCCTTCAATTTACAATGCTACCCCTCTTGAGTCTCAGTTATTCTATCTGTAAAATGGGGGCTTTAGCATGGAACCATAGCAAGAATTTAATAGATATTTTATATTATTTTTTTCCTGTTTTATAGATAAAGAGCCCGAGACACAGAACTGGTAAAAAAATAACTTTTCCCTGTTTAAGATGGAGGCAGCCCTTGAACTGTGCTTCTCATTTCAAAGTCAGTGCTCAGACTCCCAAATGACACTATCTCCGCAGTGGCTTCCTCTCTGCGCTGCCATGAGCATGAGGTTCAAGTGCTTAGCACTGTGTCTCATTAGGGTGTAGGTTCCACTAACTGGTGGTGATTATTGTTCGAGACAAGGATGCTCACCTGAGCTTGAATACTCTCCAGAGTTTCAGTTACTGTAGACCCTCATGTGACAGGTACTCAGATTCATGGGTACTCCCTTTACACATACAGATGGTTGGTGTCAACTGTGAGAGATGATGAGAGCCGTGGTGTTGGTTAGCGAGTAGAAAGGAAACAGGACTTCATTAATAAAATCATAAAGCAGGAAGGCTGATCAATGCAATGCCGAGACTGCTTTTTCCTTCTAAAAATGCCTCTCCCTGCAGGTTTTCAGATACATCGCAATCTTTTAGAATTCCTGGTCTTGCCTGGAAAGAAATCAGCGAGTGTAAGGTTGTTAGCCCTAATGTCTGGGAGGGTGTTGCTTTTAATAATGCAGGGATAAAAATAAAATGACCCTCTTAAGATAGTGGCTACCCACAGCTCATTTGGAAGTCAGTAAAAACCTCATTTTTTATCTGAGCATTGGAGAGCTGACCTTTAAAATCACCACATCTAGGGAGAATGTGTGATGTGATGCAGAACATTTTTTTGGGCATGCCTAAGGATGGATGGCCGAGGATATGCTCATCAGTTCTCTTCTCCTTCAAGGAGCACAAAATTGCTTAGGTTACGAGTCAGTTCTTGGGTAGTTCTAATCCTGTAGCATATGCTTAAGTGGGTCTTCTGAGCAAGGAAGATTAAGCACATATATAGATTGGATGCTGATCCATTCATGTGGTGAGAAAATGATGCAAGCATGTGTTGTGTGTGTGTGTGTGTGAGACACACACACACACACACACAGAGTTCATGGGAAAGTCTAGTCGCTTCAAGGCAACTAGTTGTGTAGTGAGTTCAGCGAAGTCTTTTGGAAAGAGATGTTGGGATTGCTTTAAAATCATAGCCATCTTCTGTGAATTTCTGTGTTATAAAGATGTAACTATGGGGCTCATGTGCTACATCTAGGGTCTGGGAAGCAATATTGCAAACATAAAACCAGCGTTTGATTTGTGAAACCTAAAATACCTGCAGGTTCGTGGAGCACGAAGAGAAGCCTATCTGTATTCATAATATGCTTTTTAAAGAGCTGTAGATGTTGTGGGAAACAGAATGCGATGGATGGATGTCTCAGAGAGTCATCTCCAGGAGAAAATAGCATCCCTCTCATCTTGCGTGCTATCATCAGTTGAGCGAAGGTCTGGCTGGTGAGGCTGACAGAAATTCCTTGTAGCTGCTAATTCTGAACAGTCTGGATGAGGAGCTGCTTTAGTGCCCGAATCTGTCACATCATAAACTCCTCCACACTCTGACCAAGGACTGTTAGCATTTTCCCTGGCTAGGCTTCAGTTGGCTCCAAAAACAGCGAACTGAGAAACTTTTCCCCTGACGTTTTCAGATGAGGATCCAGATGTCAGAATCAATGAGTTTTCAGAGTCACCGCATGTAACAAGGAGGCCGGAAGCCACTTAAACACCAGGCTGCTGAGCTTCCGAGTTTCCATAGGCAATACCTGCCAATTAGCCTCCAGTCATGCTGCTAAGGACCTGCAAGGCGCAGGGCTTGGCTTTGGCAAGGAAGCCAGTTCCTCACTTCCTCACTGACATGGATGGGGCTACTGTCAAGGGAAAACATTGAATAAGGTCACCAAAGGGTAGATCTATTACTGAACCTGAAAATCTATTCAAGGGCTATTGTAGAGAAGTTCTCATATTTTCGAGTCGGTAAAATTAGAAAAATTGGCTGAGGTTAGTGACTGCTATTCCAGGCTGGCTGGTGTTGGCTTTATAGGCATGTCCAACTGGAAATCTCGCCTAGCTTCCTCATTCTCTTCTTCCATATTTGCTGAGTACCTACTCTGTGTCCGCTAAGGGGATCGTGAACAGAAACAACATCGTGGGAAGATAAATCTTCCCTGACTTCAGGAGGATGAGCAGAGGGGAGGGGACAGATTTAAAGACTGGTGGCTTGAGTATGACTCCATACTAGGAATGCGATGTTGGGGATGTAAGGATACCAGCCAGGGTTTCACAGAGGTCTGTGCAATGGCCAGGGCATTCCAGGCAGAGAGAACACAAGTATCAAGATCAAGACAGAAGCAGGAAGGCCAGTCTGTGCACTAGTTTGAGGGTAATAGAGGAGGAGAGTGATGATAACCCGGTGTCTGGAGAAAGTGCGGGCAGGGACATGGAATCTTTTCTGCCATCTGGTCTAGCTTTGACTTTACTCCAGGGCAGTGGCACACTGAAGAGACGTGACTGAGCCACCACCTGGCCATTGTCATCACACAGCCCTTTGTCAAAATCCCGATAGTCCCCAGGTTAGGCGTCTCTCTCTCTCTCTCTTTTTTTATATTTACAGAAGTAATTTATTGATGTAAGATTTCTGATTTTTCATGTATTACTTGTTTCACAGAAAAGGATAATATATGACTGAAAATAATGAAAACCCTTTTAGGGTACAACCTATCAGTACGAGTGTTGTTTTCTTTTATTATTATTATAATTATTGTTTATTATTATTAGTTACATTTTATTAACTCTGTATCCTAGCTGTATCCCGCTCACCTATTCCCTCCCAATCCCACCCTCCTTCCCTCAGCTTCTCCCTGCCCCTTTCCAAGTCCACAGATTGGGGAGAACCTTCTTCCCTTTCATCTGACCCTGTTTTATCAACTATCTTCAGGACTGGCTGCAAAGTCCTCCTCTGTGGTCTAGCAGGACTGCTCCTCTCTTGGGGGGTGGGGAGGTCAATGGCCTGCCATTGAGTTCCTGTCAGAGATAGTCCTTGTTCCCCTTACTATGGGGAACCAATTGGTTATTGAGCTACCACGAGCTTCATCCAAGCAAAGGTTCTAGGTTGTATCCATACATGGTCCTTGGTTGGAGAAATAGTTTCAGAAAAAAAACCCTGTGCCCAGATATATTTGGTCCTTGTGGGGCTCCTATCCTTTCCATGTCATAATAACTCACCTTCTGCCGAAGGTTTGGTTATGAGTCTTAGTATCTGTTTTGAAACGCTGCTTGGTAGAGTCTTTAAGATGCCTTCTGTGGTAGACTCCTGTCATACGTCCATGAGAGTGTTGTTTTCATTGGGTGGTCTCCTCCTACTTCTAGATCAGTAACTTTTTTTTCAAACAGCTCTTTCATATTTTGCACCCAAGGTGAGTTTGGCCTGGACATGATCTCAGCAAGTCTTCATAAGAGCTGAGAGTACACATGCAAAATAATCGCAATGGCACAATCCAACAAGAAATAAATAATACTGATTTTTTATATGTATTATGTATATTATGTGTTATATATATATTTTTTATTAATTACACTTTATTCATTTTGTATCCCCCCATAAGCCCCTCCCTCCTCCCCTCCCGATCCCACCCTCCCTCCCCTTTCTGCATGCATGCCACTCCCCAAGTCCACTCATAGGGGAGGTTCTCCTCTTCTTTCTGATCTTAGTCTATCAGTTCTCATCAAAAGTGGCTGCATTGTCCTCTACTGTGGCCTGGTAAGGCTGCTCCCCCCTCAGGGGGAGGTGATCAAAGAGCAGGCAAATCAGATTATGTCAGAGGCAGTCCCTCTTCCCATTACTATGTAACCCACTTGGGCACTGAACTGCCATGGGCTACACCTGTGCAGGGGTTCCAGGTCATCTCCACGAATAGTCCTTGGTTGGAGTATGATTTTCTGGGAAGTTCCCTGTGTTCAAATTATCTTGTTCTGTTGCTCTCCTTGTGGAGTTCCCGTCCCCTCCGGCGTCTCTCTTTATATCCTCAACATAGCGTTCCTCGTTTGGACTCATGCTGAAACCTTCAGTCTTCGACATTGAAGTCTGGATGTGGGAGCGTCCTAACTAGGTCTCATCTGAGTATGAGGATAGACCCATTGCCTAGTGGCACTGATGTGCAATAAATGCAAGTCTTTCCTATTAGCCCTTCAGTGGGTGAAAGAAGTCAGGGATATTTCTTTCTTCCTCTCTTTCTCATTAAAAAAATACCATTACATTCTGGGGTAGGAAAGGTAAACGCTAAATGATAACAAGTCAGGTCGCCCTCTTTGAAATGGAAAATTCTCTCGGATAAGCTGGAGATGAGGCAGTAAAACTGAAATGACCAGAGGGCTCTTAAAAAAAAAA